ATGTCTGGGCGATTAGCTTTCATTGTTCTGTCTGTGTGTATTGTAAAATCCCATAAAATTATTGCAAGTCCTATCTCCGTAACCGGGTCTGGGTGATGTTCATACTAATTGCTACAGTTTCCTTTCCGTAAAAGTTGGAGGATTATTATTATTATTGTCATATATGCATGAAAAGTGTCACTGCTGACACCGGAGTTTGAACGTGAATCTCTAGACAATGGAAATGTAGACCGTCATTTAATATAAATAGATATATCATGCCACTGACTGGGTGGTTACAATTACGTGTTTGACTATTGCATTAACCCGGACGTTAAAGTCGAGTGGCACGTGTTTCAAGACGAGTTAGTACTTTTCTTTAGCATTTTCTACACAGTCGTGTATTAACTGATAAATAATCAATAATTTTTCCGGAGACTCTTTACTTAATATTAATGTATCTTAATTACATTTGCTAATTAAATTTTTTTATTTTTTTCAATTTTTTCTTTTCCGGTATGATGTACATGTGTCGGATTGCAGAATAGAATTATTATTATTATTATTATTATTTCCATTATTTTTATATCCATTATTATTATTATTATTTTTATTATTATTTCCCATTATTATTATTATTATTATTTCCACTATATTATTATTATTATTTCCATTATTATTATATTATTATTTTTTTATTCTTTTTTTCAAAGATTTTCAAAGATAATCAATCTGAGGGATTTTCCATGTCAATAAGAAAGCACATTCTGTTTTTTTTTGTCTTTGATCACGATGTCAGGGCGATTGCTTTCAGATTTGCTTTGATTGTTCGGTTATAATTGTATTAAAAAGTCCCATAAAATTGTTACTATAAAATCTATCTCTGTAACCAGGTCTGGGTGATGTAGTTACCAGTTCCTTACAGTTTCCTTCCCGTAAAAGTTTAAGATTTTCCAGTACAGATATTAACCCACTCTGTCATATCGAGTTTTATATTCAGTTGGTTCTAAGACCTGATACAAGATGGTCAATTATTCCTGAAAATACGTTTGTCAAGACCACTGTTATCACTCTTTCCACGATTGATGAGGATGGGTTTCCTTTTATTCAATACGTTGTGTAACGTCTGTAGCAATTAACAGAAACCACATTCCTTGAAGACTTTTTGCACAGCAAACAACAACTACGTTGGAAGTGTTGAATTTTAAATAAGCATGGAATAATACAACACAAAATGTACGTTAACAAAACAGGTTTTAAAGAACAATATAATATTTACAGTTGTTTGGTATATTCTATGGGAAGACTGTTCACATTTTTACCCTAAATCAAGTCGGGCAGAGTTTCTGGATTCAATTTTTTTACGGCATTTTCTGTCTTCCTCAACCAATATATTTTTAATGGGTTTATTTAATGCCGACAACAGATAATTTTATCTCGAAGAGAAAATAATGTAATATAGATGTTGTTTTGTCAAAAAATTTTGGTTTGATTTGTTTGTTTTACGGCATTTTTTCAAAATTTGTAAAAATTTTTATTGTAATATTTTTTTTTTCAAAAATATACCAATGGTAATAATTTTTTCCAAAATGTTTTCAAAAATTTACAAACCAAAATATATTGTTTTTACTATTTTTTTTCAAAATGTATTTATTGGTAATTAAAACTTATATTTTAAAACTTATTTTTACACTTTCATAATGTTTTGGCCAAGTTTGGGGGTTAACTATTTGCTCATAGCTAGGACCCTAACAGTGCTACCACCCTGGACCTGGGAACATCAGCAATTAAGAGATGGTTCCACGCTTCTCAAAACTTCCTGATCAGAGACCTTGCTGCTGGACGTACTTTATCGTCTTACCCAGAACACGGATGTAGTTTATCGTTATACCCAGGACGCGGATATAGTTTATCGTCATACCCAGGACGCGGATGTAGTTTATCGTCATACCCAGGATGCGGATGTAATTTATCGTCATACCCAGGACGCGGATGTAGTTTATCGTCATACCCAGGACGCGGATGTAGTTTATCGTCATACCCAGGACGCGGACGTAGTTTATCGTCATACCCAGGACGCGGATATTGTTTATCGTTATACCCAGGACATAAAGTAAATTTTAGGAAGGAAAACGCCATCAGCAATAGAAAGAGTTATAGGTTTTGGTATGGTTTGGCTTCTTTTACGGTATATCATCGTCAATGGGTTATTTAATGCTGGCATGATTTTTATTGTAATATTTTATTTCGAAAAAGTGTATTGCTGGTAATTTTTTTTTCTTCTAAAAATGTACTGCCGGTAATATTTTTTCCAAAAATGTATTGCTGATATTAAAACCTATTTTTCCACTTTCATAGTGTTTTAACCCCAGTTTGGGGATTAACTATTTGTCCATAGCTTGGACCCTAACAGGTGCTACAACCCCGGATCAGGGTGGGCCCGGGAACACCAGCAATTATGTTGTAGAGTGGTTTCACATTGGAGGCTTGTATTTGTACTAAGTCGGTCCTAAAATAGGTTCGACGTACAAAACGTTAGGAACTTGATATAATAGGTAATGACGCAGAGAAATCTAGTTGTGGTCGCTGATACTTTAGTATCCGACTAACGTTCGTCCGACATCGACTGACTGACCAACGATATTTAGTCACCCCCCTCCCACGAGGGCATCATGTGGCACAAGGCCGGTTTAATGTGGGATCTCCGAGCCCGTGGGTTCGGCCAAAAATATGCCCATTGAACCCGTATAAACGGGTTCAGGGTCGGTTTACCTCCCCGAAAGAGAATCCGACCTTCGGTGGAGCTTCTTTCGGGTTCCTCCCTCGCCCGAAGGCAAAGAGTTCAACCGATCAGCCAGTCGACTGGCTGACCAACTCACTTAGCGACTCCTACTACTCCTACTTATTATATAGGTGGGAGAGTCTATTAACTACAGAATAGGTGTGTTCCACTATAACAAATTAAAAGATGCTTTTCAAAACCTCCTTGTCAAAGGCCTTGCTACCGGATGTAGTTTATCGTCATACCCAGGACGGCTTATCGGAGGTGGAGAGGTCTTACCCCCTCTGAAGAGGTGAAGTCGACGTATTCTGAAGCCCCACCCGTCAGAGCCTGTACAAGTTTCCATTAAACATAAAGTGGGGGATCCGTTTTCTATTGTTATTAAGTAATAAACTGACCCCCCTTGAATTATTACATATTAATATAGTAATTGAAAAATACTTTGTAAGAATCACAAAATAAAGCATTTTCGTAACAGTAAGGCCTTTTAAACAAAATATACTGTCATTTTCGATGGTCAAAAAAATTCTAGTTTATAAAAAAATCATTAATATCGATCATGAAAAGACGGGATTATAAATGGTAATGAGGAGATTAACCGTTTCCTTATAAGGAAACATTCGGTATTCACTGACCGAGCAGCCAGTGCTACACGAGTTACACTTTTCTTTACTCCCTGACCATCAGACTGGATTCAAAGTGTAGTATCTGTTCTCCTCATTTGTAATGTCAATGGTAATATTATCCGTTTCCTTATAAGGAAACATTCGGAATTTATTAACCGAGCAGCCAATGCTACTCGAGTTACACTTTTCTTTACTCCCTGCCCATAAAACTGGGATCAAAGTGTAGTATCTGTTCTCCTCATCTCTAATGGTAATGATAAGGATGGTAATGAGAAAACATTCGGTATTCATTGACCGAGCAGCCATTAATATTTTCGGTTGAAATCCTTTTCTGAAAACAGGTTTGATTATTTTGTTTTTTTTAGGAAAATAGGTTTCTCAAATCCTGTAATTGTTATCGCTCTTTCCATTATTGTTGGGAGTTTCCTTCCTAATCTTCTGTCTGAAGTAGTGGAGAACATCAGTATCTAGATTATGTTATTATTGTCTATTCGAGTAACATTTGCTATGCATTTTAGTCGTTGCTGTTGTTGACAGTCTTCAAGGAATATGATTTCTGTTATTTGGTACAGTTTTTGTTATGAGATTCTGTTGCGCCAATCCACGAAGGAGGAGTTGACAGTTTAAACATTTCTGAGAGATTTGGACACAATGACTGCCATCTACATGAATGTCGAATCTTTAACTGCTGGCTTATAGCCCGGTTCACACTCCTCTCTGGTCTTTTTAACAGGAGTAGAAGTTTATCTCTTGTTTCCTGTTTAGGTTTGGGTTTCAGTTTCCTTTTAAAGTCTACTTCAACTCGATACTTTTAACATCTCTGCCTAAACACTGAAATGTTATTTGCTATTTATTCATTTATTTTGACCTCAATAGGAGTCAATAGGTTCGCCTATCGTCCGGTTCAAACTCCTCCCAGGTCTTTTGAACAGGATTAGAGGTTTATCCCTTGCTTCCATGTGCTATTCTGTTTCTTTGTCTGTTTGTCTATCTTTGTCTTCGGCTATATTTGTATGTCTCTCTCTCTCTCTCTCTCTCTCTCTCTGCCACTCTCTTTTTCTCTCTGTCCATTTGTCTGTCTGTCTCGTATTTGTCTGTCTGTTTCTTCCTCTCTGTGTGTCTGTCTCTCTTTTTATCCCCCGCTAGTCTGTCTCTTTCTCTCTCTCTTTCTCTCCCTCTGTTCCTCTCTATCTCGCTCATCATTCTATATATCTGTTTCTCTTCCCCCGTTTCAGTCTGTCACTTTTCTTTCTTTCTTTCTTTCATTCTTTCTTTCTTTCTTTCTTTCTTTCTTTCTTTCTTTTTTCTTTCTTATGCCTTCGTGTACGTCTTTCTTTCTTTCTTTTTTCTTTCTTTCTTTCTTTCTTTCTTTCTTTCTTTCTAATTCCTTCCATAGCTTCTTTCTTTCTTTCTTTCTTTCTTTCTTTCTGTTTGCATGTCTGATGATTTTTCTCTGTCTTTCTTTCTCTCTCATCGTTTGTGTGACTGTCTATGTCTTTTTTTTTCTTTCTTTCTTTCTTTCTTTCTTTCTTTCTTTCTTTCTTTCTTTCTGTTTGCATGTCTGATGATTTTTTTCTGTCTTTCTTTCTCTCTCATCGTTTGTGTGACTGTCTATGTCTTTTTCTTTCTTTCTTTCTTTCTTTCTTTCTTTCTTTCTTTCTTTCTTTCTTTCTTTCTCACCGTTTGCCTGCCCGGTTCTCTCCATTTGTCTGCGTGTTTGACTACCTCTTTCTCTCTCTCTCTCTCTGCTTGTATATCTCTTACACTTTCTCTGCCTCTCTGTTTTCCCTTCAGTTTTTTCCTCTCTCTCTTATTCTCTCTCTTTCCGTGTGTCCCTCAGCCATTTTCTCTTTCTATCTCTCTATCTCTTTCTCTTCATTTGTCTGTATGTCTCTCTCCCCGTTTGTCTGCGTGTTTTTCTAGCTCTTTCTTTCTCTTTCCTTCTATCTCTCTCTGCTTGTCTGTATCTCTTACTCTTTCTCTGTTTGTTTCTCTATTCTTCAGTTTCTCTCTCTCTCTCTCCCTCTCTCTCTCTCTCATTCTTTTTCTCTCCGTTTGTCTCTCAGCCATTTTCTCTCTATCTTTTTCTTCATTTGTTTGTCTGTCTGTCTCACTTTCTCTCCGTTTATCTGTTTGAATATCCCTTGTTCGTTCTAAGTTTCTTTCTCCTTTCATCCGTCTGTTTTGTCTCTTTCTCAATTTGTCTGTCTGTCTACCTCTTTCTCTCTTTCTCTCTCTCTCGCTCACGTACATTCTCCCTCTCCCTTTGTCTGCTTGCTTTGTTTCTTTCTTTTTCTCTCTTTCGTTCTCTCTGTTTGCTTCTTTGTCTCTTTCTCCGTTTGTTTCTCTTTCTCTTCCTTTTTCTCACACTCTTGCTCAGACCGTTTGTCTCTTTTGTCTCTTTTTCTTTCTTTTATCCTCTCCGTTTGTCTGTCTATTTATATCTTTCTCCCCCCCTCTCTCTCTCGCTTTCTCACACACACATTCTCTCTCTCTCTCTCCGTTCGCCTGTTTGCCATTTTCTCCACTTTTCTGTCTACATCTTTCTCTTTCTCTCTCCGTTTGTCTGTTTTGTCTCTTTTTCTTTCTTTCATTCTCTCCGTTTGCCTTTCTACCCCTCTCTCTCTCTCTCTCTCTCTCTGTGTTTATCACACTCTCTCTTTTTCTTCGTTTGTCTGTCTACTTCTTTCTCTCTCCGTTTGTCTGTTTTGTTTTTCTTTCATTCTCTCCGTTTGTCTGCCTATCTACCTCTTACTCTCTTTCTCACACTCTCTTTTTCTTCGTTGGTCTGTCTGTCTCTTTCTCTCTCTTTCTTTCTGACACACTCTCTTTTTCTTCGTTTGTTGGTCTGTCTACTACTTTCTCCCGTTTGTTTGTTTTGTCTCTTTGTCTCTCCGTTTATCTGTTTTGTCTCTCCCTCTTTCATTCTCTCATCTTGTCTGCCTGTCTACCTCTTTCTCTTTCTCCCTCTCTCTGTTCGTTTGTCTGTATGCCTCTTGCTATCTCTCTCAGTTCCTTTCTCTGTTTGTCTGTCTGTTTTTCTCTCTGCTTTTCTCTCCGTCTGTCCGTTTGCCTATCTGTTTACCGCCCAATATCTCTTTTCTTCGTTCAAAAATAATCCAGGCCAATCAACACCGCCATTTTCATTCTTGTCACCACAACAAACGAACTCTTCCGATTTCACGCGTTATCTCGCTTTCTTTCTTTCTTTTTTCTTTAACTAATTTGTTTAATTCTTCTGGTCTCCGATTTGTTCGTCGTCCTGTTGATTTGCCTCTCCATATCCGACTGATAGACTCTTAACAAAAAGTGAAACAACAATGAAAAAAAAAACAAAAAAAAAACAAAAATGTCGGACGGATTGCAGAAAATGTTGTTTGTTCATTGTCATTATATTCATCCGCTTGGTTGGAGGCGGAATTCCTGAATGCGCGACGAAAAACAAACCCGAATAAGATTTTCTTTTTCCCTCCAGAATTCTCCATTGCGGACAAATGACCCTGAATTAAAATATCACCTGTCCCTGATAACTTCCGCGGAGACCAGATGAGACTAAATGATGCTGGTAGTGTTAATGGCCATATTTGCTGATGTGATGTCTCTTTATAGAATAGATTTTTTTATTATCATTTATCAATCAACTGTGATAGAAATATCAAATAAAAATTCACTGGACGCTTTCTCCACAATAACGGATTAGTTTTGACAACATAGAAGCAACCAGCAGATCTTATTTCAAGTACAGTTTACCCAGTGTGAATTGAACTCACTTCAAAGCCAAGGTAGAAGTTGCTGAAAATATTTCTCAGAGCGCCTAAAAGTTCTTTAAGTAAACTGTTCTTAACATAGATTTCTTCAGGGTCCTTGTAGAGGGGGAAACAATCGGAAGATCCGTAGAGTTTGTAGACCGACGACAGGAATTTCTAGGTCCTAGGAAGCAGATCTCGATTATTATTATTATTATTATTATTTTGTAGAGGGCCGACGTTCTGTCTTTAGAGCCCAGCTTGTAGATTTCTTTCTGGAAAGAGGTTAATGAGATGACTGGTGTTACTGTCGCCGACCTGATGTTATCACAGACGATGTTAGATACTCACTGCCAAAGAGGCGTATATTCTGCGTATTTATCGAGATGAGAAGGCCCAGAATTATCGGGAACTTTTCCCTCCAAAATTTCTATACACTTTCCCAACCCTCTCATTCGTCAGAAAAAAAATATTCTTATCTCTGATAAGAATCAAAGTTTTGGGAGGTTGTTTTTGGAAGCAAGTCCGACAAGTTGTGAGCGTTATCCACCGACTTTATGGCATCATGGTCAGGGCAAGGGTCGTCAAATTCCTTTTTATATTTTCCAGATCTCTCGTTCATCAGAAAATATATTCTTATCTCTGATAAGGATCAAGGCTTTGGGAGCCGGGTTTAAAAACAGAGATGAAAGTCTGGGCAAACACCTAAAAAGAAGTTGTAAAATATTGTAGTAATGGTTGTTAAATTAAATTCTAATATACTGAAGACACTCCAAAGCTAAGATAGAACTTACGGTTACATCTCGCTAATTCTACTGTAAATTGATGAGACCTTGCTGCCAATTTAAAGTCTAGGTACCAAAGAGAAGAGTTTTTCCGATTTACCATGGAAATAGTAAATGAGAGGCAAAGGGAAGTTAAAATGGCTAGATGGAACCGTAAGTTCTATGCTAACAGTTTCTTCTATCGCACTTCTCGCTTGTGGAACTCTCTTCCGGCTTCTTGCTTCCCAGTTAACTTTGATCTTCAAAAATGTAAATGCAATATCAATCGTTATCATTTGTCTTCCTATTCGTTGTTCTCTCTACTTAAAGACGCTTTTTTCTTCTACTATCTCACACTTGGTAACCTTCTTGCGTCCTAGTGGCTTTATTGCCTTTGATCTTCAAAGATTTAAATGCAATTTCAATCGTTATCTTCTGTCTTCTTAATTCTTGTTCTTTTATTGTCCTCTCTCCTTAATAGTAGTTTTTCTCATATTCTCTAACACTCAGTAACCTCTTGCGTCCTAGTGGCTTTATTGCCTTTGATCTTCAAAAATTTAAATGCAATTTCAATCGTTATCTGCTGCAATTTGAAAGAAACTCTCCATTTCCCATTTCTTGGCGCTAACAATTACCCCCACCCACACATTCACAAAAACGACAGGAGTCGTATTTACAGTTGTAAAGTTACTTAAATACTGCCCCCCCCCAGTTAACATCATCTTGGATTTTTTTTAATCCTTATAATTTTAATAATCTAAAATACAAAATTCTTTCGGACAGATGATAATGAAGTTAATTGTATAGATAAGAATCCTACACTATTTACATTATTCGAACTATTCTCCTCATCTTTGTCGCCATATTTATTACAACGTTTCGGCCCTTCATTATTTGTCTATATTTCTGAGATGAGGTATTATGTACACTATTTACATTATTCGGACTATTGTTTAATGGATGTCAGTTATCAGTTCAATACCCGGTTAAGGTGGTGGAGAACTTGGAGAGGGGGATTAACAGGTGATAATTGATAACTGACATCCATTAGACATGGCACGTGGAACTAGAACAGTATACCCCAGTGAGCGAAATAAAGGGTTCAGTTCGACATTCCAACCACCTGAAGAAGGCCGGAGCGTACAACGGCCGAAACGTTGTAATAAATATGGCGACAAAGATGAGGACAATAGTCCGAATAATGTAAATCGTGTACATAATACATCATCTCAGAAATCTAGAGAGATAAATATCCTACAATAGTAGAGTTACCTCTCTGTGTCTTTTCTATAAATACTTTGATGGGTATTGTTCAAATGAACTTTCCTCTATAGTACCTAGACTTTACGAATTTAAGCCCAGTACTAGACTGGGGCCGAGATCCCATCCATTTACAGCTGAGCTGGCTGGATACAGCAGTAGGTTCTATGCTGAAAGTTTCTTTTCCCGCACTTCCTGCTTTTGAAACTCCCTTACGGTTTCACGCTTTCCAGCCAGCTTTAATCTGCAAAAATTTAAAAGGCAATGTCAATCGCTATCTACTGTCTTCCTGATTACTTTTTTCTCTTTCCGCTCATTTATAATGTATCTGTTCTGAATTCTTCCATAACCAGTGACCCACTTGTGTCTTAGTGGCTTTACTGCCTGGCTTTTGGAACTCCCTTCCGTCTCCATGCTTTCCAGCCAATTTTAATCTTCAAATATTTAAATGCAATGTCAATTGCTATCTACTGACCTCCTGATTACCATTTCCTCTTCCTGCTCATTATTAATATTTCTCTTCCTAATTCTTCCACACCCAGTAACCCCTTGTGTCTTAGTGGCTTTATTGCCTTGCTTGTGGAACTCCCTTCCGGCTCCATGCTTTCTGGCCAACATCAATCTTCAAATATTTAAATGCAATGTCAATTGCTATCTACTCTCCTTCTGATTACTCTTTCCTCTTCCCGCTCATTATTAATGTTTCTCTTCCTAATTCTTCCACACCCAGTAACCCCCTGTGTCTTAGTGGCTTTACCGCCTTTCATGGTGTGATATTGAATAAAAAAAAAAGAAAAGGAATACAATCACAAAAATTTATATATAAAATTCTGTGAGTTCCATAAGTTCGTCCATCAAACCCTTTAAAATAGAAAAGAAATTTTCTTAACAAATATTGTTTACAGTGAAGTCCTATAAAATTAAATTGAATTAACGAAATTATTAAGTTATTTAGTAGGTTTTTTTTGTCAAAGTATTTTTCCAAACAAATTAGCTTATTCAAATTTTATCGATTGGTTTGCGAAATTGAATGAAACTTAGAATTTGTAAATTTCTACAAAAAAATGTTAGCGATAATATCAACAATACTAAATACCGTGAGGACTTCTACATGCGTCCACGGGTTGCAAACAAGTTCTAATATTTAAATATTACCATCTTTTTTTTTCCTTTTTTATTGTACGCGTTATGTTAGTTATACAGGAAACGGCCGAAATACCTCCCACATAATGGTAGGCATTGGAGGCAATGGTGTTTTCTGCGAGCTAATGGCTTGCCGTTATGTAGAAGGTATTTTTCAGTGGTATAAGTAAGAGGTATTTCTTTCGCAGGTCAGAGAGTATTTCTGTGTAAGTTTCTACTGGACATAAAGTTGGGGATCAGTTTTCTCTTCTTATTAAATAATAAACTGACCTCTCTGGAATTATAACATTTTAATATAGTCATTGGAAAATTATACTGGAAGAGTCCCATAGGAAAAAAAAAAACTCTTAATAAACAGTAAGGCCTTCGCAAAATATGTCGTCATTTTTTCTGGTCTGGGTAAACTAGTGTTAATATAAGGTTCTACTGTCCATAAATTAGGGGATCCGTTTTCTATTGTTATTAAGCAATAAACTGATCACCTCTTGAATTCTATAAATTATAATAATTGAAAAATAGATTGAAAGACGCACATGTGTAAACATTTTAATTTTTAGTAAGGCCTTACCAAAATATATCGTCATCTTCGACGGTCGGGGTAAACTGTTATAAGGTTCTGATGGGCATAAAGTTGGGGATCGATTTTTTTATTGTTATTAAGTAATAAACTGATCACCCCTTGAATTCTATAAATTATTATAATAATTAGAAAAATTAATTGAAAGACTTGTATGTGTAAACCTTTTAATAACAGTAAGGCCATACCAAAATATGTCGTCATTTTTTATGAACTGGGTAAACTATTATTAATATAAGGTACTGGTGGGCATAAAGTGAGGGATCGGTTTTCTATTGTTATTAAGTAATAAACTGATCACCCCTTGAATTCTGTAAATTATTATAATAATTGGAAAAATAGATTGAAAGACTGACATGGGTAAACCTTTTAATAGAAATAAGGCCATACCAAAATATGTCATCATTTTTTATGGTCTAGGCAAACTAGTATTAATATAATGTTCTGATGGGCATAAAGTGGGGGATCAGGTTTTATATTGTTATTAAGTAATAAACTGATCACTCCTTGAATTACTACATATTAATATAGTAATTGTAAAAATAGATTGGAGGAAACGCAGGATAATCTTTCAATAATACTAAGGCCATAACAAAATATGTCTTTATTTTCGATGGTCTGGGTAAACTAGTAATTAATATAGAGGGTGTGGCAGAAAAACCTCCCACATAATTGGTAACACATTAGTGGCAATGTTGCGTTCATCTAGATAATTTCTTACCATTATGAGGCAG